ACTGAGTAACGCATCTTCTATTATTAATTAAATAATGTCTCGTGCATATCTCCATCCATTCATTTTATTTTCTAACGTATACTTTTGTGTATGTACGTATGTTCATCATCCCCTAAACCTCCTCTCTCTCTCTCTCTCTATGCGTATTTGCGCTTTTCCTTTTTCTATTATGTTGAAAAATATAAAATAATAATAAATTTATGATCGGACTTTAAATACACATTTTATATGATGACTATTGCTATATAGAGAGCAGTAAGCAAAAGTACATTCTTCTCTCAATTCATACTCAAATGTATGTGCTGATATCACAAACATGAAAAATGGATATTTTTTTCTGATATTCTCTTTTTCTGTATGTTGTGCCTCCCAGAAGCACATTTTTGTATGTGATATCTCTCAAAAATGTATACTTGTACGTCCATATATACACTCCTGTATCTCTGGACATAGATGCGAAACATTTTTGGCGAAATGAAGTAGAAATTGGTTAAGAGAAAAAAATATTAGAATATCGACTGAAAGTCATTGACTTCCGTGCTGAGTTGTGGTCTGACTAGGATTACCAAAACTGTGCCAAACTCAAAAGTGAAGTTAAATTCTATAGCCGATCTTAGATCAAAACTTGAGCTGAGGCCAAAAACTTGAACTGAATTAAAAATGTTGTTTTTCCACGTGGAAGTTGTGCAAACTTCCCTCAATCATCTCCACATATGAAAAACCTAGAGAGCGAGTAAACGTGCAGGGAGGAAATGAGTGAAAGCAAAGTGCTTCTTCTGTAGAAAAATCCAACAAAAACATCATCAACAATAACACACAGAATAGGACAGGAAAAAAGTTTTTACTCGTACGTATGTTCGTTTCAATTTTTTGGAGGTACTTGCAATCTCATCTGTACTGAAGCCTGTATATTTTATTGTCTTTCATACAATATTCTATTATAAAAGTTGCACATTGCTCGGGCTAGCTAAATAGATAGATAGATTTTTGTCTATACTTATATATACGAATGCTTGATGCTGCCTTCAATACCATATAAAATATACATAAGTATAGATATTTTTCTACAACTCATATCTATTCAATTTTTAGGCTAAAAATTTTTGTTTGACGATTGTGTATATGGCTATATTGAAAATAGAAAATTGAATCAATAGATGAGGCAGTGAGTACATGGATGGGTGAATGCAGTTTTTACTTCTCCACTATCTTCACAGATATATCGAGGTAGATTTTTTTTTATTCCTCTCTCATTTTTGTACTCCTCTGGTTTACCTTTTCATATGGTCATCATCATCAGCATCATCATTTGTAAGATAGATATGTGAACGAATAAAATACGTAGAAATAAAAAATGTATTGAGTTGAGGGATGCATATTGGGAATGTAGATGGATTAGGTGCATTCAGAATTGTAGAGTTTTTTGTTACTTATTGAGGACTATTGCTGAATTTGGTGCTTAATCAATCTTTTGATTTTAGCGCTGAATAAGTTTGCTGAATTCAGTGCTGAGTAAGTTTGTTGATTTCAGTGCTGAGAAGATTTGCTGAATTCAGGGGTGAATAAATTTACTGAATTCAGGGCTGAGTAAGTTTGCCTAATTCAGTACTGAGTATGTTTGCTGAATAAAAGTGCTGAATTCAGCTACTCAGTATTGAACAAAATGACTCGAAATCCTGTCAATCTTCAAAGATTCCAGTTGAATTTCATCGAAAATATTTTTCGCATCGACAGGATCTCTCTTTACTTCATGTGTAAATCCTTTTCGCAATTTTAGCTTGGAAATTTTTCGCCGAGAAAGTGGAACGACGAGCAGGAGGAGGAGGAAGAGAGGAAAATGAAAAGTTTTTCGGAGCCTTTTTGCGATAGGAAGTTTCAAACCATTAATATGCACAAATGTATTGATAAATGGCCGAAAACATAAAATGATAAATACAATGAATTTTTTTTTATTTCAATTCCTCCCTTCAACTTTTCTATGAGAAAATTGCAGTCTGCAAATGTTTTTGCATTTCATTAGATGGAAGTGCATTTCTATAGGGAATATGTGGTTTTAACGCGAAAAATGTATCAATAAATGGTGCAAATACATGTGCTATACACAAATGCATCCACATACGGACACACAATTTGAAACATTTTGCATTTACATTTTCTTCATTTAAGCTTATTATAAAATTCTCTTTATTTCTTTTATTTCGATTTTTTTTTTGTTTTCTGAAAATGAATTTCAATTTTTTCTTCTTTTTTTTTCACCTTGCAATATTTTTTTGAAAAGTTTTTTTTTTATCGAACCTGATGATTATTTATTTTTTTATTACGTTCTTGTTGTTGCCGTAGCTTATAAAGTTAATGAAACTTTAGGTTCAACTGAAATAATATTTTTTTTTGATTTTTTCTAATGAAAATAAAATTATTAAATGATTCATTTTGTCTTGCGTTCTTTGAATGAGGAAGATTGGAATTTTAAACAACTTTTTCTGATTAATCATCAAGCAACAATGAGATCTGGATTGTCAATAATCATTTTTTCCAAAACCACAAACCAAATAAACGAAAAGGTTCTTGAAAAATGTTCAAAAAATAATTTATTCTAATGTTTCCATGCAATGATAAGCAAAAGAAAATAAAAATACGAAAAAAACCCAAACCCAAGATAAACTTATCAAATTAATTCAATAAAATAAAATTAATTCTTCACAGATAATAATTGAAATGATTAAAAAAATAGCTTTTATCAAATTTATTTAATTTTATCAAAATTCTCTATGACAGTTCTTAAAGCAATGGAATGATAAGCTCCAACAATTGATAATCTTAAAAATTAATTTATGTTTTGCGTCAGAGCTGGGATGGCTATGTTTTTTTTTTTGGTTTGGAATATAAGGTTATTTTGTTATTTGAGTTTGCATTAAAGGTTCACTTTAGATATTTTGTTCGATGAGTAAAACCGGTGTTGCTCAAACTTTTTGAGCCACGGCACACAGTTTGGATAACACTGAGTTAAAAAATCAAATAATCATAAAAAACTGGTTTTAGCTTTCTTAAAATCTAGGAGAGTCTCTAAAATCAACTATTTGGCAATCCAACAAGAACACACAATGATACTTGGTATCTGCTTTAAGATAACTTAATTCTATAATAAAAAATTGCGAATTTATTTACGGCTATTTTGGTTTTTTTTTTCACCTGAATAATATAAACAAGATGATTTTATAAGTAAAATTTCTATGAAATGTAGTGATTTTGAAAAGAAAAAGGTGGGCCTGTAAAGATATTAAAATAAATTCTAAAGTCGATAAGGTTCACAGTTCTTCTCGTCGTCTACAAATTCATCGTTTGCTAGAATCTATTTTTATTTTTTTAAAGTAGACCTAGAATCCATAAAACAGTTGAATCAGGTCTCAACATAGGCAAGGGAAGTTAAAAATGAAATAACGGCAAGGACATCAATATTGAAGGTCCTTTTTGTTTTCTAAAGTTGCAACTTACAAAATATAACGACTTAAATCCCATAAAATCCAAAAAGAATTAAATCATTTCCTGCTGCGCTTAAAAAAATCAACATTATTTCACTTTCATTGAAAAAAAATTTCAACTTAGTTTTATTGCAATAATTTTTTCTTCTATACTGTTATTTTTTTTGATTTCGAATTACAGCGTATCGATAGCAAAACTTTTGTTTTTCATTATTCTCCTCATATCTTTCAACTCGCTCTCTCTATAGATTTTGTTTTGTGTTAATTTATATTTTTTTTTCGCTACTTTGCCTTGCATGTTGCAATCGCAATAAAATCAAAACAACAATAAAACAAAATAAAAATAAAAATAATAAAAAAATAAGTTGCAGGAAATTATTATTGTGTGTAGATTTTTACACAACTTTTCTTCTCCTCCGTAATGCGTATAGTTGTAAATTTTACCAATTAAATATCTCGATGGAATGATACAAGGTAATTAAGTTTCGTCTCGAGATGCAACTTTGTATTGTGAGGAGATCACAGCTGTGGGAACTTTTATGGTGATTATAAATTAGGCTTTGCTATTTTTAAATTTTTAAAAATTATTGTTAAATTATATTAGCTATTGAAGATCTGAATTATGTTTTAAAATTGTTGCTTCTTTTATCTACTTTGATTTTAATATAAATACATTACATTGCCAAGCATATTTTTCAACTTTCATGTTTGATTGCAATTTTATTTAATTTTGCAATAATTTTTTATATTATTTTATCACGAAACCCTCCAATTTTTTTTAAATATCTATATTACATATTAAAAAATTAATTCAACAGTCTTCCATACTAACCATAGGCTTACCATCTCTTGAATCAGGATATTGCGACAGCCACATCAATATATATATGTAACACTTTATTAGATAAAAACTTGGATGACTTAAAACGTTAATAAATAATAAAAATATCAATGAAAAAAAATAATGTACAGCATCTCCATATATCCATCAACATACGGACATACAAGCGCATATATCTATAGTAAATTGAGAGATAAATCGAACGAGAGATAATCAAGTAGATATATTTTTTTATTTTAAATGATAATTATCGAGGCTGAATAAAAAAAACTAAGAGGCTGGGCAAGAAAAAATAAAAAAAAAAATTCAAAGGTGGGGAAATTTTTTATGTATTATATTTTTTATGTATTCTATAGTTTTCTCACACAATTTTCGTACACTTGTTCGTACACAGCAGGAGAAAAAAAAGCAAGCAGCAAGTAAGGCAACATAGGAAAGAATTGCAATGTATCAATGCATTGTATTTCTTATGTTGCTTTATGCTCCGCTCAATAAAGTCACAAATACACCCACAAAATCCACTCTGAAACGAAAATTCTCTCTCGCGAGTAAAAGTCTCTCTCACATGCACACGATACACGCTTATGTGCTTCATATTTTCCTCTCTGTTGTTGAATATAACAAAAAAAATATTGAAAATAATAATAATTTTTTTTCTATTCATTCACATTTCAGTTCTCGTCGGTATTTCGGTTAGTGCGGTTCTATTTTCAAACCCGGCTCTTTTGTCGCTCTTTAGAGGCTCTAATAATAAACATTTATTATTGAAATGTATAAACTGTAATAAAAAATAATAATAAATTGAAACAATTACACAAGAAATATTAATATTAAAAGCGCGGGGAAAGGCAATACAGAAGACATAAGGAAAATAAATATTAAAGTGAATAATAAAATACGAAAATAGAAAGGCGCAACAGCAACAACAAAAAAAAAAGACAAAATTAATTATCTGAGAAATATTTAATTAAAGAAATTCATTCTCAAATGTAAATTGTTTTTAATATTATTATATATCTTCGTTTTCTTGCTCTGGTATGGTTTGATTTAGATGCCGAGCGGTATAGAATTGTCTAATGGATTTGATCTCGTGATGGTGTTGATTTGTGAAAGTATTGTATGCGGATTTAGATAAGTGGATGTGATCATATGTGTAATTTACGGGTTGAACCTAGTTTTTGAGCCTTAGTCATTAGAGAATAGGTTCATTTATCAAATTTATGTCTATTCCCAGTAAAAATACTGATCTTAACCTCCAAAATTCCAACAATTTGATTATAAACTTCAAAATAATGTAAGCATTGCGAATTTTGATAAATGACTATTGACACCTCAAAAATCTATCGCAAGTTCTTATTATTTTCGAAAATTCTAATTCTGGCTAATGTAAATGGAATCAAAAAAAATTCCTTTACGTCATTTTCATTTAATAAAATCAAATAAATTATTAATTTTAAATAATTTATTCATAAATGTTTAAAAAAAATTCAATGGAAACGTATGAGTGAGTTCTTCTGAAATGTAGCATGCCGTTCGAGAGAGAAAAATTGTCATAAAAATATTTTTTGGCGGCACATTATCTCTGTGTTATGTGCAATCGAGATAAAATTATTCAATATTTGTCTTTATTTGATGAAATAATCATAAAATGTTATGGTAATTAAATACAATTATTATTTTAAATAAACATAACATTATATTTTATATTGAAATTTTTTAAAAAATGCTTTAAGCATTAATATTTATTAAGCAGCATTTGTTTTAAATGAATACTGTAACTATGTTTGATTAAGATGGCAAATAACAAACTTTTAATAAATCATTAAACTTAATAAATCAAATTTAACTTTATCTCTCTTTTTTAATAAAAGTGCAATTTTTAAAAGTAAATTACAGGAGTCTAAGAATGATTTTTAATAAAACTTTGAATATCAAATACTTATTATTCTAAAATTACTTTAAAAAATTTAAACTTTACATTTCAATTTTCGTAAAGTTAAAGTTTTAATTTTATTAATTACAAAACATTCAAAACAATTCAAAAAACTTATTCAAATAACAAAAACTATTGACCCACAGTAGACGCGTGTAAATATGATCCATACTGCTGTGTGGGAGATCCAATAAAACTCAAATAGTAGCTTCATCAAATTAACATATTTATCTTCTGCTTAATAAAAAATGTCAGCATGCTAGTGTCAAATTACAACTTCATAAAAATTATTCAATAATTTAAAATTGTTTGAAATGCTTCCCAGAAATTTTGTCTATATTTAGCGAAATTTAAATGATGTCATTGATAGTTTTAAAATTTTAAGTTTTAATATCGAATTTTTAAAATTTTGTTTGAGTAAAATTTCGAAATTTAAATTATTAATTTTTCAAAAATTGAGAATTGAATGAAAGAAAAATTTGGAATACTGAAAAATGTTGTTTTTTGAAAAATTTAATAATATTTGAAAACATTTTATTCTGTAAAGCCTCAAACATTTTCCAAATAAAGCATTTATCACCTACTCGAAGTTAGTATCAGTGGAAATTGGGTGATAAATATATACAATTAAAAGCTGTGTTTTATTAAGTAATTTCAAAAAGAACCTCGATGAATTGAGAGTATTTCGTTTCTAGAATTTGTATCCATCAATGGTTTTGAATTTCCTTTCAAAATTTATAAAAGTTTCTTAAAAACAATTTTTCATAAAGTTCTGCAGATAATATTTTAAAAATTGATAAAAATCGTTCAATGCACATTTTAAAAAATAAATTAAAAATTTGAATACGTCCAGGTCACTATCTAATTCCACCGACAAGTCAAATATTCTTGAGAAACCAATTTCAAATTAAATGCAAAAATTTTAATTACATCTCAAATCCAACAGAAATTCCAACCCCCAATTTTCAATCAACACCACAAAATCTATCATAAGATCTTATGCTGCTCGGATATCATCATTATTATTATTACCGAGCAAAATAAATTATATTTTTTTCTAAATAATAAATGAATTCAAATGGAAAGGAAAAAAAATAATAAAACAAGAAAGAAATGAAAAAATTATTTTTTTAAATATTATTTCTTATAAAATTGTTTTTTGTTTCATTCAATATCTGAAAAATAAAAATGTTTTTAATACATGTGGATGGAGTAGAGAGTTTAATAACAATAATAATAATTGTAATGAAATAGAAATATTTATCTTCATGTGTACATGCTTCAAACTATATATCGTAATTGAAAGAGCAAAAAAATAAGTGAGAGAAATGGAGAGACATAATAAAAATTGTTCAATATTAATTCAATAAAAAAAATATACAGCACAGTCTTGAAAGAATATCATAAGTGGAATAAAATATCAAAATAATAAAAAAATATATATCATAATAACAATAAAATATAAAAAAAAGGTTTTTTTGTTTCTCTTCTCTTGGTTGTGTATATAAAGCCAGATGAATTAGTGGAATTATTATACATAAAATGGAAATGGATTGTTTTAAAAGTTAATTAAAGAATATTGTAATTTTTGGTTATTTTTTTATTATGCAATAACATTAAATTTCATAAACATTAATTTTCCAGCATAGTTTGAAGAAAAACAGCAATACAATACACGAACACGTTGCTGGCTTTTGTTTGCTTAGTGGGAGATTTTATTTTAATATGTTTTTTATTGAAGAAATCTCAATTGTCTTTAAAAACTCAAATTAGGTATTTTATATAAATTAAGATAGAATCAATCTTTTGCAAAGTCTAATTCCAACATTTCTCTCATCGATTCCAATTCTTCATGAAGATTAAAAGCTATTTCTCCTTCATTATAATTAACTGCATCAAAATTTCCAATTGAATTCTCATTTAACAACTCAATCTACTCCAATCACATGTAAAATAACACAAAAATTGAATTTCATCCAAATAACAGAACTAAAGTCAAAGAAGTGCTTGAAAACATCCAATAAGTACATAAAAAACAGTCTGTATGCAACGAGTGTGTATACGAAATATATTATGACAATAGAACATCATCTGTATTATCACATGGTGCGCATAAGTAGCAACGCTTTGGAAAAACTAGCATGAAAATTTTTTTTTGGTTGTAAAAAAAATTATGGTGTGTGAAAAAGTGAGCGAGAGAGAAAGAGAGAACCATAAATAAGAAGAAAATATTTTCAAGAACTTTTTTTTGCATTCCGAAGAAGATATCAGCATCTGTAGACGACGAGGAGATTCCTTCATGCTGTATACATAAAGCGACATACATACAAACATAGAAATTGATAGAACATATATATACGTACGGTAAAGCAGCAGAGCAGACACAGAGTGATAGTAAAAAAAAATTTTTTTTTCTGTGCTCCGACTTTTACTTTCGTCACATGGAAAATCCCGTCTAGAGAATTTTCACTACAATATTTTGACTAGACAAGAAGAAAAGTAGACAAGAGAAACTTTATACATAAAATGTTTTGAATAAGAAGAGAACCAAGTACATAAAAGTGAAGTGATATCGTGGAATTGAAAAGTGAATGCAGCATAAGAACTTTTATATATAAGATATAATGACTGTTAGTGCATAGTGACTCTTATTAAAGCATAAGTCGGTACATTAGCTAGCTTTTGTGACATATAGCTGCTCTTATCATTTCAATAGACATAACTAGGTGTAAACTTACATAAAATCCAAAAATAAGACTCATACAGCACGCGAAAAGAAACTTTTGTGAAGTGTTAAAAAACATGAAATAAAACTGACAGCAAACTAAGTGCAAACATAAGAAAATAATGTAAAGAAACATAAATCATACATAAAAACAATTTGTGGAACACGAATGATACATAAAACAGTTGAAGAAGCATAAATGATACATAATAATAATCTGTGAAACATAAATTGTATACAAGAACAAGAATTGATTAGCAACAGAAGTTTTTCAGTTCAGCATAAGCAAAAAAAAACACGTTTGGTGCAGAATAAGACTTTTAGCGCAACTGTGAAGCATAAATTCATAACAAGTGCTCCAAAATTTGTATGTAAAAAGTTCATATCCAACATAAACTTATGTATTGAAAAATCTCATTGATAAACTAAAAGAATCCATGTGCAGCATAGACTCAATATCATAAAATTATATGTTACATAAAAAATCATCAAGCAGCTGAGCATTGAAATTTTCTGCAGCATCAAAAGTTATGTGTATCGAAAGTTAAACATAAACTTATCTACAATATAAAATTAAATCATCATACAGCAATCTGTGAATTAAAAAGTTGGTGCAACATAATTTTGTGACAAAAGACTTCAAAGTTATCAGAATCTGTGAATAAAGACTCAAAGCAGCATTAATAAATATAGTGTAACATAAAAAGTTGACAATTCAACATAATTTGAGCATAAGTCATACATAAAAATTCAATATTCAACATAACGCACCATCAACATAAATCATCCTGCAAAAAATACAAAACTGTAGCATAAGTCGCAGCATAAACATTAGAAAGTGAAGTGAACAAAACTTTATCCTTAAAAACAAGTGAAATGAGAAATTTTTCAACATAAAAAAAGTAAAGCATAAAAAATAATCATGCCGTCAAACACACCACCTAGTAAGAATCCATCACCATTAAGTATTTCGGAAAATCGATCTCAAGATTGTGAAGAACCGCCGACAGATTTGTCGTCAAAGTTCAGCATGAAGAGCAGCAACGATAGTAATAATAATAGCAATAAAAGCAACAACAATCCCCAACAATTTTGTCTACGATGGAACAATTATCAGACAAATTTAACATGTGTATTCGATCAATTGCTACAAAGTGAATCCTTTGTTGATGTAACACTCGCATGCGATGGTAATCAAATAAAGGCACACAAAATTGTATTATCAGCATGTAGTCCATACTTTCAATCGCTATTTTTCGATAATCCATGTCAGCATCCAATCATTATTATGCGTGATGTTAAATGGCCAGAATTAAAGGCAATTGTCGAGTTCATGTATAAGGGTGAAATTAATGTGAATCAGGATCAAATAAGTCCATTGCTTGCAATTGCTGAAATGTTGCAAATACGTGGATTGGCTGAGGTTAATAGTGAGAATGCAACGGTCGGTACGTCAGATACGCAAATAAGACCAAAGCAAACGCCGACGGTTGATTTGACAACAAAATCCCGTTCAAATACGTCAACGCCTGTACCAACATTCGATATTGAGGAGCAATTACAGAAGCAACAGGAAAAGTCTGACTTGAGAAAGGCAAAAATAACGCCACGCGATTGGGAATCATTGGCATCAATGGATGCACTTAGTAATTCACAGCAACAACAACAACAATCGCAGTCGTCACAACAGCAGCAACAGCAGGCGGCAATAAAAAATCAGAGAAAAAGACGATGGCCATCTGGTGAGCGAAGTAGTGCCGCAACTTCATCACCAGATAATTTAGAATCGTCATCGCCACTGTCAATAAATCCAGCAACATTATCCCATCCATCACAATCACCGAACAATATTCCACATTTTAATTTGCCGACATCGCTAGACTCATTGGCATTGCAGCAATTATCATTGCATCATCCAGATGAAATGGAAATTAAGCCTGGCATTGCTGAGATGATTCGTGAAGAAGAAAGGGTGAGTAGCTTATAGCTAATTCTGAATTTGGAAGTTATTGATTGAAAATTACATTTTTGGGGAATTTGTCTTGAGAAAGTGGACTTTTGGGGATATATTTAGAGGTTTGAATGAGGTTTTGCTGAAGCTTTATGTCCAGTTGTGCTGAAACTTTAGCTATAGTCAAGATTTTTAGGACTAGGCCCTAAAGTATGGTCAGGAATTCGGTCCATAATGTATACAGCAACACCAAACTTCATTTAAAGCAGCTCATTTAACACCTTAAACAAAATCCTCAAAAGTCCACTTTAATGAAAATTAAGACCTAGTTTTTCTTATACAAAAACAAAAGCAAACCGCATTTCAAACAAATTTTAATGACGACAATTATGAAGAAAAGTCTTTATTCATTAATTATGACATGAAAAAGAGGAGAGACGAAACAGTTTATGTACATAAAGAAAAGGACTTTTAAATGAATGAAAGAAAAGTTTAGTTAAATAGAAAATACACAAGTAGGAATGAAAGGAGAGCGAAAGTATCTTTGTAAAGGCTTTGTTGAATGAGGAGAAAGTGGTTCTTTTGGGATGAATATAAAAAGTTTTGTATCTGATTTGTTTTAAAGAAGCTGTGATGAGGTTATGAAGTTTGTGGGTGTTTAAGTTGGGTTATGTGGGTTTTTAATTTGATTTGAACTTTGGTAGTTTCTGGAACCCCTTTAGTTTTCTTGGGCTTAATTCAAGTCATATCCTAACCCTCAATGTTGTATCTTCCTTACAAACCACAATTTTAAGTCAACTGCTAATAACTTACTTACTTTTCTGGCAGTACAGATCAATTGTGATCCATAGCCTCCCTTAGATGGCGTCTGAAGCTGGCTCTATCGCAGGCTACAGCCTGTCAATTACCAATACCAAGTGTAATACTGTCTCTGTCAACAGCTTCTCTCCAAGAGCTATTAAGTCCAAATTTAAACCAGTCTTTTTTGATCAAAACCAGACCTAACCCCCTCTTCTTAGTAACCGATCACGTCCCCATCGCTATAAAAATCTCCATTAAAGAACAATGAATCTTTAAAACTGTTTAAATTGTATACAATTTTTAAAAGGTGTCATTCACATATTTTTAGACCGTACAGTCACCGCTTTAAAATTGCTTCTTTAATTCTTATTTTTCTCAAACTCAATTAAATATTTATTCATACTTCTTGTGATTCATTTTACAACAAAAAAATAACTGAATGAGAATTAAATATTTTGTCGTGGTAATGTAAATAAGTCGAGGGAAAAAATAAGTTCGTATGTAAAGTTTAAACATTGGCAATATTTTGGGATGTGGATATTTAATTTTATTTTGTAGACTTGGTAGCGTCAGCTGATGCTTTTTGGAATGGTAGACTCAGTTGAATTTTAAGAAATATTTTTATAAAGATTCCCAATGTTCCTAAGCTAACCCCTCATTTCCTCGTTACAATACAGATCCACAATTAAAATAAAAAAACGACAAAACTTCATCAAAACATAAATTCTCGTCAATCTACCGCCGCACTTCCTCTCATTTTCACGTTCTTCATCTTATTAGATGTAGATTTATGTTTTTATAAATGTTTTCTGAAATGTACAACATGATCTTTCGTCGTTATAAAAACAAAGAATCAACGACACAAGAAAAGATACATGAAAAGTAACTTTTAATTTTTATTATTTTTCGAATACACGAAAATAGTAATAAAATAAAGCCGGAGAAGAAAGAAACAGAAATCTGACGACATGAATGGCACTCGAGAAAATATTTAATACAATCAATGACATTTCTGTCACAATACAGTCGTCAAAAATAATACATCTGAGAACATAATCGAAACTGATAGTTTTCTAATGTCGTTGAGGCTGTAGCGCATTTTTCGATTGAATCTCTTAGAGGTGATGAGTTATGATGTTAAAATTTTACATGCGATTGAATGATGTGAATTTAAGCTTCAATAAAATTAAATCTCATCTCGAAGGAGAAATAAAAAGAGCTCATGGGTTGTCTTGTGCCCATTAGCTACATAGTGATACAATAGATATTCTCCTTTGTAATAACCAAGCTTCCCTAGTTCATCTACATTTTTATTAAATATACGATTATTCCATCGCAACAGTCATTTTATTAAAAAGTCAACAAATACAAGCACATCCAAAAAGATTATTTAACGATGGTTTTGTTATCAATTTCTATAAATGGGCGTAAGATAAGTCTAAATGAATCATTTTCCTTAATTTCTAAGATAAAAACTCAAGGTTTAGTAACTCTGAACAAATAATTTTCTCTAAGGGAAGGAACGGAGTGGATCTGTTGGCAAAAAGTCCTTAACTTAAGGTCCATTATGATTTTATAACAGAACCTTTAAAAATAGCACAAGTTGGTTTATCGATCAAAAATCTGGCACCAAGCCGTTGTGACTCTGTAATGCTGCTGGATTGCAATCTTAGCTAGCTTGTGTTATTCAGGACATCCTAAGGCATCATAAATAATTTAAAAAAAAATCCACACACATCAAATAAAATAGATTCTAAATCGATCCATGTTACGCATCCCAAACTGACTCATTCGCATTTCCACTTTTGCCTAGAAATAAAATTATATACACACGATCTCTTAAAATTAAAAAGAATGTGTATTAAATAAACTATAAGCAACAGCATTAACAAGCAGAGCCGCTGCTACCAGCACTAGAGTGTTGCCTTTTTTTATTGGTTGATACATTAAAGCCAAATAATTGGCAGTTAATCTTTCTTTGTTGATCACATTCTTGAAATGTACGGATTGAATCGTTTGGCTAGCTTTAAACAAAACACAAAAAAAAAAGAACTGAGCGAAAAGAAAAGAAAATGATTGTGAGGTAGCAAAAATCCAAGTCATAAACATAAATCACCGAGCTTATGAGTCTTGTATTTCTCATTGCTGACTTTTAAACTTCAATTTCACATTCTCATCTATATATTTATAAATAAATATATTTCCTTTACTGTTTTATGCCTTTTTATATTTTATTATTATTTTTTTTATCTTCATCTGGAATGGAAACAGGCAGACAAACAATAGGTTACGGTAATGAAAAGGAAAAGAAAAAAATTATATTATTACTTAAGAACTCTTCAAGTTCATATAGATTTAGATATTTAATGTATTATTAATAAAATGCTCTGCTCTCTCAATGTGAAACGTATCAAGATGTACAGAAATAGACGATCATTAGGGATTCTTGCATGATGGATTGGTCGTTAAAATATAACTTTATGGGGTTAATGATAATAAGGTGTTTTAGATCTTTGTGAGATAAAATAGAGTTTTGTTGGATTAAGAATTCTTTTTTGAGGCTAGAATTGTTTTTTGGGGATTACTGGTCGTTACTTCATAAGATTAGCATGTTTCTTGCGAATGGTATATAATTAAAATTTAACATGTCCATTCTAAGAGCTTTGCATCCTTTCATATAAGATTTCAAACCTTTCGGCACATAGAAAAGGGGTAACTGGACCTTATACTTTTAAACTCCCTAGCTTTGATGCTATACTTAGTTATAGCAGTTTGTAAAACTGAATTATTCATAAAGGGAACCCACAGCAAGTAAGCTTATTGCTTCTATAATCAACAAAAAAAAAATGGATTTTAAAATTTTTAATATTTCTATTTATTTTAATTCACAAACACACGCTTGCATCTCCATAATAAAAATGCACTCATACACCGATAATAACTTCCATTAAGAACCCCTATCAATTCCAACAATATTACTGCTTTACGAGTTTGAGCGCACCATAAAAATACATAATAATTATAATTATAGATTTTTTTTTCATATTATTTTTCGAAATATAAAATGTAATATCTCATCTTCAATAGACGAAAAATATACACAACACAGCTTTTGTGCTTCTTCTTCGCTCCTTTGTGTTATTTTTTATTTTTATTTTATTATTATTTCATTTCAATGTTTTTTATTTTTTATTTTAACTCGAGAAAAAATACTCCCCTACTTTATACGTACCTACGGGAAGTGCATACACACATATTATTCTCAAAAAATAAATATAATATTAATATGAAATAAAATTGAAGTAGATGGAATGTAAAATAAAGGCACAAAACAGAAAAGAGTGTATAAATAAAATAATAATAAAAATTTCGTTAACATAATTATCATTCTAATTATGAAATGTAATAATAATAATATTAAATTTCTGCCTTTGTGCGTCTGATAATTGCAATTGACTCACCAAATTTGGATGTGAATCGATATTAAAAAGAAGGTTATGCCTATTTGCAAAGTATGTATTATATAATTAAATAATAAATAACGAAATGAATATATAAATTAATAGATGTGCATGTGCGGCTGGAAGAGGTTGAAGGAAGTTTGAAGGGCGGGGTGGGACATATTTTGCATTAATTTTTACGTTTTTAAAAAATTACATACCTTAAAAATTACAAATTCATATTTATAACATAAATTACTTTTAAAAAATTTAAATTATGAAAACTGAAATTTTAAAATTCAATATGTTTTGGATTGTTGAACAAATTTTGAATTTTTAATAATTTTTAAACTTTACCAACTCTGCCACCGCATATGAATATGGAAAGGGTTTTTGAATAAATGTTAAATTTATTATATTTCTATTTACACAGCCGCTTATTTTCAATACAATCAATTTAAAGACAAATAAATTCAGAGAAAAAAAATAATATTTTAAAAAATTTCAAGCTACTTAAACAAATAATAACTGAATATAATGTGTTGAAAAAACTCTTTTGTGTATTATATTCAAATATAAAAAAGACATTGCGTAAGATGAAAAAATATTTGATTTAAATTTAATGTACAAAAATGATTAAACAGTTTTATTTTCAGCTTTGAATAGAAAATTAAAATAAAATAAGAAGTGAAATGTATTGCAGTTAAATGAGTCAAGAAAAAAGTAATCATTTAATATTATTACATTTCATTTACGGACGTTTTTTGCTGTTTAAGTCGT